GGGGGGGGGGGGGGGGGGGACCGGGACACCTGGGTGGCATCAAGAGGAACTTCCGGGTGAGCGGCTTAACTGACCTGGGGGTGGAGAGAAAATGCCCCCTGTCCCATGGAACCCTGAGCCTCTTCCCTGTGCTCTGGATGCCGACCTGTCCCCAGGCGGATGTAGGGAGTGGGCATGAGGGGATGGGCTGGCACGGCAGGGTCCCACAGCATCACCTGGCTGCCTCTCTGGGGTGCAGGGACCCCAGGCCTGGAGCACGTGGCTTCAGGGGTCTCTGCACCCCAGACTCAGTTCCTCATCCTCACAGAGCAGGGGGGTCTGGACGAGACTTGGCTAGGAGCATTTCCCCAGGCATGCTGGGAGGGGGGTGACCTAGCACGGTGCTGCACGCAGGCTGGGACCCGGGCACTGAGGTCACCGCAGTCGCGGGGCGTGCGTGGCCTGCAGGGTGCGCCCAGCAGATCCAGAGGTGAGTTCCTGCCCGCAGCTCCCCAGGGCTGTGCAGAGCCAGGATCCACCCAAGTGCTGACCTAACACACAGGGAACAAGCTGAGTCTCAGCTGGGAAGTGGCTGCAGGGCCCAGCTGTCCGGCCCCAGGATGCCCTTCCAAGTTCCCTGGCGTCTGGGAAACTGTTAGCCTGGTTCTTCAGGGAAATGCCAGTGGAGTCCACTGAGCTGGGTAGCAGAGACACATGGCAGGATTGGCTCGTTCCACACATCGGCCACTGAGCTCCCAGGGACAGAGTGAGTGGTGCATGGTCTCCTCCCAGTCCACAGAGAGCCTGGCCAGCGTCAGGCTTCAGATGGGAAGCTGTCCTCAAAGGCTGGTGCCCACTCCTGGACTTGTTCATGTGCACACAGTGATGCGTTCAGATGCTGAGTGTCTAGCTTGGCTCCTCCACCCACCGCGGGGACAGAACATCCAATTCTCCCAGTTCCCAAAGCGCCCGCACCCCTCTGAGGTCCTGCCCCCGCTCCCTCCCCACCAAGCAGCTCCACTGGTTTCTCCCAGTAGCTTTTCCTACTCGGTGGGGCCCTACAGTCGCTGCTGCTGCTGCTGCAGGCAGAGATGGCTGCTTTCGCGCTTTGGGAGTATGACTTCTGTTGCCCGCAGATATCATGGCTGCCCTTGGGCCTCCATTCGGCACTCTGGGGCTGGTTCCTGCGGGGGAAGCTGCACTGTCCTGCTTGGCTTTCCACAGGGCAGGACTTTCCATGGGGCAGGACAAGTACCTGCTCCAGCTGGTTTCCAGTTTGCAGCTCCCCAGCGACTGGTGAATCTGAGCACCTTTTCATATGCTCATTGATCCTGTTTCCATCTGTGAAATGTGTCTTCAAGCCTTTTGCCTGTGTTCAGTTGTTCTGGCCTTCTCATCAATAGATGGGAGTTCTTTCCGTATTCTGGATATAAGCCCCTTGTTACATAAAATGTTCTTGCATTTTCTCTCCCCTTCTTTGTAGGTTTGTTGTGCCAGTAGTTACAATACACACGTTAACTTACTAGCATTATATGCTACTTCACACAACATAATCACGATATGGTTTCATTTATCCCTGCTGTCATCCTGCCATGGGGGGCATATATAAAAATTGCACTTCTATTCAGGTATAAGCTCCATAATTTGTCAAAATATTTTTTTCTCCAAACAATCAGTTGTCTTCACACACACATTCACCATTGCTAGTGCTCTCATCTTTTCTACATATATTAGTTTCCATCTGGTGTCATTTTCCTTCAACCTGAAAAACTCCCTTCAGTGTTTCTTACAAAGCAGGTATGCAGGCAATTAATTCTGTCATTTTACCTAAAAATGCCTGTCTTCCCTTCACTGCTTTGGTACCAGGGATCAAATTCAAGACCTTGCGCTTGTGAGGCAGGCTGAGGCACCACTGAGCTAAATCCCCGGCCCTTCCTTCATTTCTGAAAGGTGTTTTCACTGGTTGTAGAATACCAGTTTCATACTTTTTCTTTCAGTTCCTTTTTCTCCCGCTGCTGGGCTGGAACCCAGGGCCCACACACACCAGGCCAGCGCGCTGCCCGAGCTGCCCTGACCCCCGCTGTCGCTTTGCAGACATTGAGAAGCAAGCTGTCACTTGCCCAACCACTTCCTTGTACTGATGCATTTTTCTCTGGATGCCTTTACGACTCTGTCTTCTATTTTGAGCTGTCTGCATATCACACGTGGCTCCTTAGCAGTTACCATTAGGGGCCGGGGATTTAGCTCAGTGGTTTCAGCGCCTGCCTTGCAAGCGCAAGGTCCCAAGTTCGATCCCCGGTACAAAAAAAAAAAAAAAGCAGTTACCATGGCGTGTTAGTTACTTTTCTCTCATTGCTGAGACAAAATCACCCAAAGGGGGAAAGGTTTATTTGGCTCCCAGTTTGTAGAGGTTTCAGTGCATAGTTGGCTGCTCCAAGCCACCCTGCCTTGGCAGAGGAGTCTCGCAGAGAAGTTCAGCAAGCTAGGGACAAGACAAGCCTCTCTCTGTCCCCTGTAGAGCACCCAGGCTACCAGGAGTAGGGCGGTGCCACACCAATCAGTGGACTGGTTTACTAATCACATGCCCACCTTAATCCCAGCGTCACACACTCCAGATTCAGCCACCTCTGGAAAAGCCCCCACCAATGATCACAGGAGGCTTTAGGGGACAGCTAGACCCAAACCGTGACACATGGACCCTGCCACCTTCCTCTCAGGGGCCTTCAGCATTGTTCTATCCAAACTGTGAATGACTGATTAGGCCTGCTGTGCAGGGTCCAGTTCCGTGCTGTTTGGTCCTTCCCAGTGTCCCTTGGCCCTGGGTCTGGGTCCTGGGGTTCCCCCTGTGGTTGCAGTGGAAATCCCGAAGTGTCCCTGGACTCCTCTGAACGTGCCCAGCTGGAGCCCAGCTCTGCACCCCGTTCGGGGCTGCCCTGCTGGGAGAGAAGCAGCAGGGTGTTAGGGCTCTCTCCTCTCTCTCAGGCATCCCCTTCACCCTCACTGCACCCCCGGAGCCCCAAACCCTGCCCACTGACCCCGGCTCCAGACTGGCTCCCGTGTGTCCCATGCCACACCCACCACGTGCGCGGAGTCCAGGCCACGTGTTCTCCCCCAGGGTGGCCCCTCCCCCGAGGCTGGTGCCTGTCTCTTCCCGCTCTGGGCACCCTCAGAGCAGATGAGTCTGCAGCCGCTATCTGCAGAAGGGTCAGGTGCGTGAGCTTCCTGCCAGAACCAGCGGCTCCAGTCCCTGTGCCCAGCACTGCTGCAGCCTGGGGAGCTGATGGAGATGCCGTCACCCTCCCTCCTGCTGATGGAGGGGCTGGGGTCCCCCTGAGCGTTTGCACACCGCACCTGTACTGCCTGCCTAGCTGGCCCTGTGAGACCTCCTGCCACCGCCCTGTTCCCTCTCTCCCGGGCTCAGCCCCACTCCCCCTGGGTTTCTCCTGTCCCTCCTCCCCCTGTACCCCACACCCTCTCCTGGGCCCTGGAGGGGCAGTGTGCCCGGAGCCCAGGATGCAGGGTCCCTGCCTGAGGTGGAGAACTCGCCTGGGGCACCCAGGCCTGGGGGGCTTGGCTGGGGGCTCTCGGAGGGGCTCCTGCAGCTGGCTTGGGGTGCAGCCCTCCACAGTGGCCTCCCTCCCTCCTAGACGTTTGGTGCTGCAGACTGGGAAGTCTTCCGAATTCGGGACAGGGTCTTCCTGGCTGTCGCCAACAGCCACAGCTATGACGTGGGAATGCAACTGCAAAATGATTCCTATGTCATCAATTCGGTCATCTACGAGCTCAACGTCACCGCACAGACCTTTGTCAAGTTTCAGGACATCCCCACGTGCAGGTACTGCGCTGGGGCAGGCTGGGGGCAGAGCACAGGGGTGGGCAGTGTCCCACCCTTTGCAGAGGGCACAGGCAGGCAAGGACGCACCCTGCATCTCCCTGCATCTCCCATCAGCACCCTGCATCTCCCTGCAGCACCCTGCATCTCCCTGCATCTCCCAGCAGCACCCTGCATCCCCCTGCAGCACCCTACACCACCCTGCATCTCCCTGCACAGCAGCTGTCCCATGGGGAGACCCCGGGGCAGATCCCTGCTTACCCCAGGAGGCTGTGGCTGTGGCTCATCCTGTGACACAGGCCTGGCACAGGAGGCTGCCTCTGGCCACGGCTGCAGGTGACAGCACCTTCCCATGGCCCCAGGACAGCAAAACTCGTGTGCTCAGACAGGACAAGGCTGGGGAGGCCCAAGGGGCTCCCTGCTGCCACGTGGTGCTGAGTCCAGCCCGAGCTGCTGTCAGAGCTGTCGCAGGCCACTGGCACCATGTGGGACCCCAGAGCAGAGATCCCACATGGCCCGCTTCAGGGCTCTGCCTGAGTCAGAGGCACAAATGCAGCCGAACCTGTGTCCTCGGCTCCCAGTACGGGGGCATCACTGTCACCTCCCGACCGGAGCCCAGAGGATTCCATGAGTTCCAGGGCAGCCTGTGCTACATACTGAGACCCTGGCTCAAAAGAAAACGATGTCTTTAACTCTTCCATGAAGATACTTAGAAGGGGAATATCTGGGTCGGATGGAATGTCTACTTTTAGTTTTTAATATCTCAGACAGTTTTTAGAAGTGAGGGGAGCCTGACCCTCAGCACAGAGGACAACAGCTATGGCTCGTGCACTGCTCCGGCTCCGGGCCACCCTGGAGCGTGGCCTGAGCCCTCTGCACCCTGAGCCGCTTTGCTAGACATAGGCGGCCACCCAGAGAGCAGCTCCTCCGGCCGCCCGGAGTGGAGACCAGTGCACCACGATAGGGCATCTGTGGGACGAACTGGCCCTGCCCGGGCCTGGCCCTGACTGCGTCTCATGCCTGCCCACTGTCCGCAGCGCCCTGGACTGGGAGTTCTTCTCGGTGGGGGAGGACTATTTCCTGGTGGTTGCCAACTCCTTCGACGGAAACACCTTCTCAGTAAACAGTATTATTTACAGGTGAGCACTGTCTTCGCGGGGCCCACCTTCCCTTGCAGGGGAGCACAGCTGAGGCCACGTCCACCCACGCATGCCCCAAACACTGAGCCATGCTGGCCACGCACATGGCGTCCTCAGGGCCAGATTTCCTCTTACAGACGGGTGGCACTCTCGCTGTGCCACTTCCTAGCTTCCAGCACTGTAGGTCTAAGGGACAGGGTCATACTTCAGCCCCTGCTGCTCATCAGTTTTTGCATCTGGCCAAATTGTCCATTCCCACTGTTTTTCTTTAGGAGAGTCTCTGGGGACTTAGGGCTGTGATTGCATCTAAGAATAGAGGCAACTCTGCCTTTTGGTTCCTAAAGCTGTTGTCGTTTGTTTGGTTTTCTTAATTAGCTAAAAACCCCAGAGTGCTGGGGGTGCAGCTCAGTGGCGCTACGCCTGGCCAGCAAGTGCAAGGTCCTGAGTTCGATCCCTGGGTGGGGGTGGGGGGCAGAGCAGCCTTGAACAGCAGCCACAGGGGCCCCAGAGCACATCATGTGTCCCCTGGCCTACCCCTCGCCCTGTGGCTGCAGGTTTGTAGCACAGGTGCATTTTCCTGTGATGCTTATCAGGAGAGATTCTCTGCGTTCTTGGAACTGATGCTGCAAAGTTATCTAACCTGCCGCCAGCTCCCAACTGCTTATGTTTAAGACTTTTGCATCTATAATAGCAAATTAAATTGGTCTCTGGTTTTTGTTGGGTATGTAGCTTTATTCAGATAGGCTTGAAGCCTAACTCCCTAAATATACACTGCAGAGTTTTCTTAACACACCTATGATGGGCTGGGGATTTAGCTCAGTGGTTCTGCCGCCTGCCTTGAAAGCACAAGGACCCAAGTTCGATCGCCGGTACCAAAAAAAAAAAAGCACAGGTATGAGCCAGGATACTTGGAAAAATAGATTTTTTTCAGTACCAGGAATCAAACTCAGGGGCTTTCGTTCACCAGGCAGGTGAGGCACCACTGAGCTGCATCCTCGGCCTGATTTATCTATTTTTCATGATCAGTTTAAATTCACTTATAAAACCATCTGGCCTGGTACCTTTTTCTTTTTCTTTTTTCTTTTTTTTTTTGGTACCAGGGATCGAACTCGGGTCCTTGTGCTTGTGTAATTTATTTTTCTTTTTTGAGACAGGGTCTTGCTGTGTAGTTCAGGCTGGCCTTGAACTCACTACGTAGCCCAAGTTGGCCTCGAATTTGTGGTCCTCCTACTTCAGCCTCCTGAGTGCTGGTACCTTTTAATATCAACTCTTAGACAACTTTTCCAGGCTCTCATATGCTCAGGTCTCCATCTCTCTTGAAATAATTTTGTTCACTTATATTTTACTAAAAAAAAAAAAAAATCATTGATTTTCTTTAAAATTCAATGCTGGAGACTTTCTACATGATAAAATAACTTTAAAGGGCATGTGGAAGAATAACACTTTAAAGATGCCAAGAAACTTCTGAAAGACACTAATAGTGAAGGAGGACTGGTCCACACACAAGTGAAGCAGGATGATTTTTACCGAGGCAGTGGGGCTGGGCGTACAGAGCAGCTTGCCTACCCTGACTCAGGCCCTGGGTTTGACCCCCAGGACTGACAAATAAATAAAAGTGTAAAAAACAGATAGGTGGAATAAGATAAAATCCAGAAGAGCCACTCATTTATGACATTTAGTGTGATAAATAGTTATACCTGAAGACAATGAGAAAAAGGATGCTTTGTTTAATAAAAAGATTTCCTATAAGTTGCTATCTACCTGGAAGAAAACAAACCTATACCCCTACTTCATATCCATATACAAAATAGATTTATATGGATTAAAAATTTTAAAACCAAGTATAAAAAATTTGGCAGCAGAGATATTCGGAGAAGCACTAAGATGAGTTTGCATAACTGCACAGTTACACAGAGAAGAGTCGGCCTGGGGAGAAGGTCACGGGTGTGAGTGCCTGAATTTGAAAGCTTTATGGAAACATGCATCCTCTTCAGAGCCACAAGACCTGTCACTCACCACACACAAGCCCCCACACCCACAGGTTTGGGGCACTAGGGCGGGGCCCCGGGTAGCGATGAGAAGCCTGGGCAGCCTGCCCCCCCCCCAGCCTCAGCTTCCCCTCTGCAGGATAAAGAGGCCACAACCAGCCCTGCTCCCTCCATAGCACACAGGGAGCCGGGCTCGAGGGGCTGCCGGGGTGTGGAAGGCGTCACCCCAGGCTGGTTGCACCCCGTTGACGCCCTCTCTCCTCCTGCAGGTGGCAGGGCTACGAGGGTTTCGTGGTCGCTCACCGCCTCCCTACCTTCGGCTGCCGGGACTGGGAGGCCTTCAGCACCACAGCAGGCTCCTACCTCATCTACTCCAGTGCCAAGGAGCCCCTCTCCAGGGTGCTGCGGCTGCGCACAGGCTGAGGGGCCTGGGCCACCAGACCCGGGTGGCTGGGTGGCAAGCAGCATCCAGCCCCCATCATGGCCTGGCCGGGCGAGGTCGTCTGCCCTATGCTGGTGGCCACAGAGCCCCGCCTGTGCCAGCAGCGAAGCAGCCTCACAGGACTGGTTTACGTCACGTTGTACCTCAGACTCGGGGCCCTGGCACATCCAGGGCCACAGCCCCGTGACAGCCGCTCTGTGGTGCTGTGCAGATGCTGCCTGCCGGCCGCCTATTTACATCTTCTGTCTGTGGAAATATATTTATATTGCTCTCTACGCAACACCCATCTTCATGTTTCCCTCGGGGATGTGCTCTCAACAGTGGGGCGCATGGGGTCCCCGGTCACCAAAGCAGACTGGAAGCTGTTCCCACCCGGCAGGGAGCGGCTTTCCTGGTCCTAGTTTACCACAGATGCATGGTGGGGGTCGGGAGTCCCAAGGCCGCAGTATGGAGCATCCCTCCTGCCCCCAGCCCTGCAGCCGGCCAGTGGTGCTGCTCCAGGCCCTGCCGTCTCCGCCCCCAAGTCCCTAACAGCCCCTGCAGGGCCAAGCATGACAGGGCCGTGGTGCTCATTGCCGGAGTCCAGCTCCAGCGGGTTCAGGTCCTGAGAGGAGGTGTGGAGTCAGCGATAAGAGAATGAGACAGACTCTGAGTGGAGGGTGGGCAGCTCAGCTTGCCCATCTGAGTTACACCGGAATCACTTTGCTTATATATGTTTTGATTACACAAGGCCTTGGTAAGCAGTGGGTCCATACACAGTGTGTTTTCATACAGAGTTAAAGAGCAAGCTGAAATCATCTAAAAAACTATTTTAGACCACCCAGTTCTAGATACTCTTCCAGGTGCTACGTGAACTCTTGCTAACTTATCAGATTTATTTTTAAGGAATAAAAAGCATTTTAGAAAGGTCAGGCTACTTCATTAGGCCAAGTTTCATCAGATCTCACTGTTGTGTGCCCTGCGGGTGTTGGCCAAGGGTGACCAGGTGCCAGACAGTGGGGCGCCTGCGTCCTGAACTTGTTGATGTCCCAGTCTCCCTCTGTGCAGTCAGGGCATGTGGAGGTCACATCCCCACTGCTCGTGGAGGTAGGAGTGAGGGGCTTTTCTGTAAATGGATTTACAATTTCCTCCTGTAATCCAGGCCTAGTAACCATTTTCGAAGCACTGACTTTCATCCTTTCAGTGATCTCCCGGGGAGCACAGCACCCAGAGAATCACTACCGTGGAAAGTGAAAGCAAAGGATGGAGTCGGATTTCAGCCATAGTCTCGGTGTCACCGGAGCTGGGTCAAGCAGCGAGATTGTGACCATGGCCTGCGCCAGCTCATCCCCTTCTACTCTTAGCTCTGGAAAGACATCCTTTTGCATACATGACATGGTTCCGTTTAGAGATCTGACAGAAGACCACTCTGAGGCAGGAAGTCCACAAGTTCCAGCCAACCCGGCCGGCCTAGCAAGTCCTGTCTGGAGGTGGGAGAGGGCCGGGAATGTAGCTCAGTGCCGAGGACCTGGGTTCAATCCCAGTACCAGGAAAAAAAAGGAAGGAAGATGCACACACTCTGGGCAAAGTCCTCAGCAGTCCACCCAAACACCAGACGTTAACAGCAGCAACACAGATGTGGTCATGGTCAGGCGGCCAAACGCATGAGAAGAGAGGGAGCTGCACCTCAGCACTGGGCACTGCCGACCTCTGCGTGAAGAGACGCTTCCTAGGAAATGTTGACTATCACGATCGACCCATGAAGAAAAAAGCTAGATTTTTCCTTTTTCTTAATAAGGCAAATACTCTTTTTCCATCAAAACAGCTGAAACACTTCTTTAATACAGAATTATACATTAGAATTTTAACTCAGTAATCTTGAATTTAGTGAAAGCCCAGGACGAAAGCAATATTAAATCTTTTTTTATATACATCAATAATTTATGAAAACAAGCCCGCATGGTGGTGCACACCTGTAGTCCCAGCTCTTAGAAAGCTGAGGCAGGAAGATCACCAAGAGTTCAAGGCCAGCCTGGGCTCCATAGTGAGTTCAAGGCCAGCCTGAACTACCTTGTCTCAGAAAGAAATACATAAATAATGCTATTAGCACTTGGTATTCACCTTGTTATTTCCCACTGAGAAGTTTCCCAGATTATACACTGTAACAGTGGCATCGCTTTCCAGAAAGTGCGCCAGCCAGAGCCGGGGGCCTGGAGTCTGCACAGGGCACGGTGTCTCCTGTAAACCTGCTGCTTGGCCAGGAGGGCAGGAGGGAGAGTGCGTGACAGTCAGCCTGGTTAACACCAGCATCAAACCCATATTCTGTTTTTCAGAAATGTTCCAGAGAATATTTGAGGTCTTGTGTGAAATAAAATCAATCTCTGAGTACCAAAGTCACAAAAACCAGCCCCCAAATAACACACGACTCCTTTCACATAAGCCCTCTCCTCCTGGTCTTCATCGATGTTTTGTTTGCATGTAAGAAGCAGAATCCAGGGCCGGGGATTTAGCTCAGTGGCACGGCGCCTGCCTCGCAAGCTCAAGGTCCTGAGTTCGATCCCCAGTACCACACACACACACACACACACACACACACACACACACACAGACCAGAATCCTGCAGTTTATTTAGTTCAGAGGGATCCATGGAGAAAGGAGTGCCCTGGTTACAGGAGATGTGGCCTGATTCTGCTGCCTCTCGTGACCCGGCTTTCGTGGTCTTTAGCCACCGTGAGTGCATGGAATGAGTTATCAAGGAGAAGGAGGAGGAGGAAGAGGAGGGGAAATGGAGGGAGGGAGAGGAGGGGAGGAAGGAACAGAGCCCTTTCCTTTGAGTCCTGCGTGTTTCTTGGCCGAGCCATGGGGAAGCTGCGGGTGGGAGTCACAGCTTTTCCCAGGCGGGCTGGAGAGGGTGAGAGAAAGCTAGAGATTGTGAGCTGACAGCCAGTGTGCACATCCAAAATAAAAGCTGGGCTCCCCAGTGACTGCACCTGCTGTGCGGTTAGCAGCCAGGGGCCTCTGTTGATTGACTCCACAGAGGGGAAAGAACTTGTACTGTTTGTCCAAGGAAACCCTTGGCTTTGAAGCCACTGTCTCATCCTCCATCAACCTGGTCATCTTGTTAGGTAACTAAAGAATGTTATTCAAGAAAACAGTGTTGCAAGAGGTGGAGCTCCAAGTCCCCACAGGAATTGCAGTGACTATGGTGTTTTTCTCTCTCCAGCCAAAGTTTTCCTCCTCTGCTTTCATGTGCAGTCATCTAAGCCTGTTAGTTATTCTGGAATTATGTTAAAATTGATGCAAATGTCAAAAAGTAAACAGCGTGGCTTGATTTGTGTGAGATACCTGTGTCCCGCCCTGAAGTCTGTGTCCTAGGGTGAGGTTATGTGTCCCAGGCTTGACCCAGGAAATCAGCGCACTGTTCTGGTTTGTTCTCCTTCTTCCTTCTATTTTTTTTGTTTCTTGAAAAAAGATCCCCAGGAATGCAGGGAGAGTTGGCTTAAGCAGCATGTACTTTGGACTAGTGAGGTTCAAATTTGCTCCGTGAATCAAGTAAACATTTTAAACTATATCCTGACATAAACTCAACTTATTTCTAAAATAAAATGCTGGTACACTTTTTCAGAGTTTGCTTTTAGGGAGATGGTTAAGTCCTTTCTGTTGTTTAGAGACATTAATCACACATGCATGTCACAGGAGCCCGGAAATCTCTGTTGCCCTGGCTGTGTATGGGGTGCAGGCCCTTAAGGCCGCGAGCTGAGTGGCCGAGAAAACTTAAAGAAGACAGTACTTTTTGTGTTTCTGCTTTTCTCTACTTTGGAAGAAAACAAGGGTTAACAGAAAGGCCCAAGAAGAAAAACAGTATGCCCGAGGTTCCTCTTCTCCCTGGTCCACAGCACCTCGGTTAGAAGCCACAGTGGAGCTCCTGTCTCCGAGCTCTAGAATCGGGGTCCCTGCGGGGAGTTGCCAGCATCATCCTGGGGGGACAAGGCGGGTGAGAATCGCATAGAGGACAAATGGCTGCCCCACGGCTTTCTCCGGCCGCTCCAACATTGACGGTCCAGGCTGTGGCACGTGGGAGGCAGGGAGGGCGAGGTTCCAAGCTTGCAGAACAGTTGCGGAGACCTCACCACCAAAGAGCACAGATGTTTAATCTCTGCTTACTAAAAAAAATCAGATCAAATGCATTTCTTGCCACAGATGTTCGAGAAAAATGCAGACTAACATTTGATGAGAAATGAAGTGAACACATCACATCCTAAGTGCTTCAGAGAACCAACAGATTTTCATACAGGATTCAACCAGCAAAGCAAACTGCCAGGAATATTACCGGGAAAGGGGGATCTGTCACAGGATGGAGACTGGGCAGGATGGGGAGCCGTGGTCTTGTTGGTGGTGGTGTTTTTTGTTTTGTTTTGTCTTGTTGGTGTTTTTCTTTTCCTTTCTTTTCTTTTTTTTTGGTACCAGGGATCGAACTCAGGTCCTGGTGCTTTCGAGGCTGACACAATGCCACTGAGCTAAGTCCCCGGTCCTTGAGGAGCCGTGGTCTTAAAGATTAGGGAGGTTGGACAAAAGCCACCGTTCAGGTCCAGAAGCGCCCCAGTGGACAACCTGAACCTGCAGCTCAGGGAAGGAAGTGGGGGTTGGTCTTGGGCTTTGAAGGCTGGGGCGGCAGGGAACCCCGACTGCTCCCTCCAGACTTCACAGCTAGGGGCACCAGGACCCCCGGCTGCCGGCCGCGCCCTTGACGCCCCAGTCAGGGCCAGGCCCCTGTCTCTGATGCCCGGCACCCACCCCACCTGGCCGGGAGGAACAGGGATGCTGCCTCTCCCAGCATGGGCTCAGTCCTGGGAGAAGGTCGCATTTGCCTCCCCTAGAGTGTCATCACCTGAGGTGTACGCTTCTAGGAGTTTGTTTTCTTTTCTTTTTCTCTTTTTTTGGCGGGGGTACTGGAGATCAAACTCGGGTCCCTGCGCTTTCAAGGCAGGCAGCAGAACCACTGAGCTAATTCCCCGGCCAAGAGTTCGTTTTCTTGCACTCGATACTGCAGTGGGCCTGCCAGCCTGCAGGGAAAGCGGTAAAATGCACAGAGCACGTTTGTTCCACACTCAGCTCCGAGTCTGCGGCTGTCGCCCACCCCATCCTCATCGCCCTCTCCAGCACAGAAAAGAAAGTCTCCCCAAGCAGCACCTCTGTCCCCAGCCCCCACTGTCCACTCCCCTCAGTCCAGACCCCCACCACGCTACTTTCTGTCTCCAGGAACTTGCCTACTCTAAGGACATCAGATAAGTGCCACTCTGC